TGATCTCGACCATTCGAGGATCACTTGAATTAAAGATTCCTTCATCAAAAAGCTTCAACTTTTTATCGTTGAGCATGACAACGTCGGAAGCTAACTTTTCCAACTGCAAAGCTAGGTTCGAGATCGTTGCCTCTCTCTTAACTTCCTCTACAGAAGGAGCAAACTTACTAAAGGGCTTAGCAACAGGTTGAGGAATCTTACAACCCTCAGAAATCTCGGTATCTTCATCAATAGACGCTACTTCCTTAGAGCATCCCCAGCAGTGGCGCTTAAAATCTGTTTTTCGGTTATATAAGAGCAAAATAGTAATTTGTTCACCACCAGCAGTGGGCTTAAAGTTGTTTTATCGGACCGAAATTTAAAAAAAACTTTAAAATTTCGCTTAAGTAACAGATTTTTTAAAGTCCAAAAAAATTCGTCTTTGATAATAAAAAAATTACCCCTTTTTAAAAAAATTAACTCGAAGAAATAAACAATATGTACGACTCTGACAACGACCAAACTAACTTGGATATGGTTCTTGACAACCTCAATGTTGACAATGAACAGTTGGTCAATGACGATGACAACACCAACGTCATGGACTACTCCTGTGACAATGACAGCGATGAGAGTGATGTCGAGGAGCAAAGCGAAGCTCTTTCCTTTGCGCCTAAGCAGCGTCATGCTTGGACGACTGCTCAAGACGTCCAGATGTGTAAGTCTTGGGTGGCCGTCTCGGAAAGACCTATCGAAGGAAATTCGGTTAAATCATCTGCTTTTTGGAAGTGTGATCTTTCCGACTTTAAGGCTGCCGGCGACCAGGCCTGGCCAGAAAGAACGGAAAAAAGTTTGAAAGACCACTGGAGAGTTGTTTCTGCTTTGGTCAGCAAGCTTTGTCGTGTCGTCGCTGCAATTGAGCGACGTAAGCCAGGTGGTAAGGTTGCCGCTGACGAGGTAACAATTATGATTAGATTTGTTTTAAAAATATTATAATCTAGAGCAAACATTTTTATAAATAGATGGGCAATAGCTTCAAGATTTTTGAGCGAAAGAACCAGGTTCCATTCAAATGCTTCCCGTGCTTTCAGGAGCTTAATGGTGCCCCTGAGTGGAAAAGTGAGTTAAAGTGCAGAGATCGCAAAATTAAGGCGAAGAAGCAAAAGGTCGTGAAGAGTAAAGTGGCTATCTCTTCAGCTCCACGTAGCCATGCTGATATGCCGGCAGCAGTTGATGACGATGAGGATGCCATGAGTGACGAATAAGTCGCAGTGCGTCCTATTGGACGTAAAAAGAGCAAGAACGATGCCGATTGGGCACGAAGTACAAAGGGATTTTGGATGGATTGGACAAGATCCAATCCCAAGGAGAAGAGGACTTTAAGAAGATCCTTGAACAGATGGATCAAGCCCGTGAGATCCAACTTCGTCAAGTGGGAGAAGATCGCGAGCAACGTGAACGAGAAAAAGATGACGCCTTGTTCAAGATTAACTTGAAGGATTTTGAGGGTAACGAGACGGCATTACTTTATTATAAACTTAATCGTGAGGAAGCCTTAGAACGATCAAGAAAGGCAAGACTTCCAGAGAACAATAAATCTTTTGTTTTTCTTTTTTAATCGATTTTATTTAATTTTATAATGTGATTTTTTATTTTAGTTTGAGGGGCTTCCAAATCCTTTTATGTGACAAAGATGGGAGACCAGGGCAGCTTTCAATCTGAAGTGCTCAGATGAGTCTATGCTATGACCATGACGTTCCAAAAAGCTACTGAAGCTATAATGTGAACCATCACGAGATATGTCAGCAGTCTCAGCAGGATTGGCAGAATGCGTTTTATGGTATCTGTACGATCCCATTTCGCTTTCGTCGCGCTCATCCTCAGCAATCATGTTGTGTATGATGATACATGCCTTCATGATGGTATCAAGATCACCATTTTTCCATAGACTTGCAGGATTACTAATAATGGCAAATCGAGCCTGCAACACACCAAAAGCACTCTCCACATCCTTTCGACATACTTCTTGTGTCTTGGCAAAGTTCTATTTAAGAGGAAGAGTCGATTAATAACCCAAATACTAAGTATTGCTAGTAAAAACAAGACTTACAGCTTCGGCACCAGGTCTAGGGACGGAATACGTCTTCACAATGTTCGCATAATTGGGGTATATCCCGTCACCAAGATAATACCCCAAATTGAACTCTTCGTCACCAATGTTAAACTTGACATCGGGACCGCTTCCTTCCGTATATCTATCAAAGATATCCGATCTGTTAAGAACATTTATATCATTGAGCGAGCCAGGCAAACCAAAATTGGCATGCCAGATCCACAAATCGTAGGATGCCACAGCCTCAAGAATGATTGTTGGCTTCTTGTCTTTGCCTGTATACTGCCCATGATATGCTGTTGGGCAGTTTTTCCATGCCCAGTGCATGCAATCAATTGATCCCAGCATACCAGGGAATCCACGTTTCTTGTTCTGCTCCAACAGTCTTTCCGTATCTTCCACGTTGGGCTTTCTCAGATATTCCTCACCGAAAACATGAACGACTGCAGCACAGCATTTCTTGAGGCTCTCCATTGCAGTACTTTCGCCCAATCTCAAGTACTCATCTACTGCATCAGCACTAAAACCGTAACAAAATTGTCGGAGAGCAGCAGTAGCTTTCTGCAAAGGATAAAGACCCAATTTTCCAGCAGCATTGGGCTTTCTTTGGAAGTATGGATCATGCTCGGTGACAGCTTCCACAATTCTCATAAAAAGGCCTTTACGCATTGGGAATCGACGACGAAACTCCTTTTTACCGTAAACTGGTCTCTCGGCCAAGTAATCGTTCATAAGAAGCTGATAGCCTGCCTCACTATCCCTATTAATGACTCTACGTCCCTTGACAGAGCCACCTGTCTTTGACTTTCTCTTCATTTCGTCTAAACACATTTCAATTTTAATTAACTGAACAGCAGTGTCTATTCTACGCTTTTGCATAATTGCCATTGCGAGGGCTGAGTAATTCTCCATGTTAAAAAGTCTTTAAGATGAGTAAAAAGAAAACTTTTTTTTTTCAGACACATACAATTAAGCTTTTAAAGTCAGTTTTTACTTTTTTTTGTCAACTGCTGGGGTTGATTTAAAACTTTTATTTAACCGTACTTTTATATAACCGTTTTTTAAGGGCCACTGCTGGGGATGCTGTGGTATTTGACAAAAATATTACAATGAAAAAGTAATGAGAAAAAAGTATATTTTTATTAGAGGTAAAAATAGACTAAAAGAACTCTGCTGCGATGAAATTATTGATCCTTTTTATATTGAACAACTTCCCCTGGTACTTGTGTTGAGTCAACCTTTCTGGTCTTGTAATAAATCTATACTCAGTTTCCCGCCTCACATTCAATGAATTCTACTCGTTAGAATTGATTTCAAATAACGCCGCCCTGAATCAACCGATCTGGGACACTCTTATTGTTCTGTTTAACATACGGAATTCCAGTAAGATATTGTGTAACGGTGGCTAGTTAAAAGATGCATAAGGTTTTTGAGTTTAATTGGCTGTGGTAGAACTTGTAGTTATGTCTGATCATTTATCCATTCTGTTGATTATTTTTATCTAAGACATGGGTAAATCTGTGATCCTAATATATAGAAGATCTTATCGATGTTTGTATATTTAGTTGTAGAAAATAGGCATCCAAATATTCCATGCACTACTTCTCTTATACACTTACAGTCGTATAAGTTGTGTTTATCAATATATAAGTAAATGAACCATTTATAGAAATAGCTGATCTATTCTCTCTATGGGTAGCTAATCCATTGAGAGAACTATTAATACTAAGTTTCTCTTTCTTATATTTCTTGATTTGATCGGAGAAGCGTCTCTTCCCGATCGGAGATATCGTAACTCAGTGGTATAGAATTCTACATCCAACTGTCATTCGTATATCGATTTTAAGCCAATCATGCAATCTATTTATATAGAAATATGTACTCATAGTAGGAGTCGTTGTGCAGCAGTATACAGGTGTATGCTGTTACTCAATATTAAAGGATGTTTTTATTCCATGTTTTTATTTTATTCGATTTATTTGTTTATTCTCAAATAAATCATACCCAAATACGACAGAACCAACGTAACAGAAGTAATAAACTCCATCATACATTGTCATTGATTTCTATCTCAAGTTAAGGTATCACTATCTCGTGTAAACCCTTAATTAAAAATAAGCAGAGAATTTACCTGAAGTAATAATTCGTATTTAAAAGGACCTCTAATTTTATATATGACAAACTCTCCAACTTAAAATAAAGGGATAAATTGTCTTATTTTTTATTCTGACAAAAAAACTATAGACATATACTTTTATATACGCAATTATCACAACCTGAATCACATTGTGAAAATTATTCGAAACAAGTCCAAAATAGCAGTGATTGTGTATTCAAGAACTTCTTACATGATTGTCATGTAACTTTTAGTTAAACAAATTTTCGTGCAGAAGCTGAAGCCGTCCATCACTTGTTTCGTGATAATATGTTTCGGTATGTTACTCTTTTCCCAGATATTCAAGCCAACTCCAAATGGAATAGAACTAAAGGCAGAACAACAGACAGGAACGCTCAGTATTCTTTTATTACAACAACCATTACCGACAGGCCGACAAAACAAGCAAGAAAAGCTTAAATATATATATATATATAAATATCTTTTATACATGTTCCGTCTTTTTCTCACATACACACACCCACACACAACATGGGGCATGGGGATTTTTTATTATTGGAAATGCATGCTGGAGTTTAAGGAAAGGGCATAGGATTGATAGTAAAAATAATGTAAGGGCATATGGTTTATAGTAAGAAAGAATGTAAGGGCATATAAAAGCAAAAGGTATAGTACAAAAAGCATATAGAAAGGTTATTAAAAAGAAGGAAAATATGAAGGTGGAAAATATCATAAAGCATAAGGAGAGAGAAGCATATAAAAGGCAGAGGAGAAGTAAAGAGAAAAAACAAATTATTGCAGGTTAGTGTCGATTAAAACAAACTGAAGTCTCGAGTCTCTTACACGCCAAAGCTTATCCTTGGCCATCAAGGTTAAAATCTCGTATTTTCTCACGAGAAGTTGGATAACTTCCCGACGAAATGTGGCAAGTTCCAGCCTTCTGGAGGCATACTCGGGATGCTCAGGATCAAGGGATTTGACCATGAGAAGAAAATACGCACGAGTGCATATTTTCTTCCAAGGAGATGACCGACAAAAATAGGCCAACTCCTCAAATGCCACTTCGTCGGTTTCCCAAATTGTTTCCACAGATGGCAAAAGCCACTTGTCTACATTTCGCAATGTCGCCTCCGAAAGTCTCATCTCGTATGTATTCATCACAAGAGACTCGACAACAAAACCAGGAAGAAAAACCCGATGGCCCAGGCCGTATATATCTTTTTGGGAAAGATCTTCACCACGTCCTGACCATCCACTGTAGCAGCACACAAGCTCTGTTAGGAAAAGCTCAACAAAGAGCCGGACGGAAATGCTCGAAAAACGAGACACCAAAAAAATGCCAGCGACGACGGCAAAGTTTTTTTGCTTTCGCAAATGTCTGTACACAGAGGCCTCAACAAAATCATTCTGCACCAGGCAGTCCAAACCAGGGTAGCCATTAATTGGAATTACATTGGCTAAAGTGAGCATCACCGAGCTGATGTCCACATCATCTGATTCGAAGGTGAAAATCACTGGCTCATTAATGCCACTTCTTGTTGGCAGGGATGGAACAGGATCCAAGGCAACAGCAGTAGAAAACTTCAACGCACCCAAGTCATTTTCATTATTAGCGTCCTCAACGACTCGCTTCGTGGCTGCAGGAATTTGATTGAGTTCGTCAACAATTAGTTTAAAGCTGCTTGGCAAATACCACAGCTGGCTGCACTCTCAAAGTCTAGTGGTGTTGCTAGACCGTATCTGTTTAAACCAATCCTAATATAACATACTAACCTGTCACCGGTTTTTTCTTAATAATCATTGGGCAGGTATTTGAAATTACATTGAACAAACCTGGTTTTATCATAGTGTTACTGAAACCACAAGTCTTTCTTAATGTCATACTTAAATTTTTCTATGGAATATATGGCAACGTTGATTAAATTGCAATTGTTATACATTATGTTTTAATAAGTAGACGCCCGTATAAAAAACATATTTGAAAATAGTTTTGTCTGTCTTCATAAATCATTGTCAGCATAACACGTCATATCAACATCTATTTTTTTTGCTGGTCATTAATACACTGGATAGATAAGATACGAACAAATGCGATGACCATAATAGTTTTAACAATAGTCCTACCTTGTATACTTTACATAAATTTAATTTTTCTAAAACATTCTTCGCATATTTATAACAAAAATCTCAAATTGTTACATTTGTTCTCAGGCAAGTTACTGTCTTGAAAGAAACTCTACCACCGTGCACTTTTATTATTTAAGATGTGGTTTTTTATTATAGTTTTATTTGAGCTTTATACATTGTTATGAAAAAAAGGTATAGACTACGTAAAAGGTGAACCTAAACTACGATGAATTAACAAATTGAAAAAGAATAGCGATATAAATAATGACAATGCCTCACGCAATACCCGCAATTTTTGTCGTGACGTTATATTTTGTTTAGAGGGTCAACCTGGTGATAGGTTTATGTTTATTCTAAATAAACAGCACAGGGTGTTAGATACGTGACAGATTATAGGAATAAACCCAGAGTAAACATATCACCCTTGTTATATCATTTGCTAATGCTTGTGGATCCTTACGAATAATATTTATACGTCCTGTAAAAACAAGATTATTATTTTATCATGCATAAATAATGTTTGGAATGTTTACGCTATTACTATTTCCTTTCAAAAGTCAATTTAAAAATAGCTACTAAATGTGTAATTTGTTTCTTATTTAAAAGCGGCTTTATAATAGATTTTCTGATTTCGGAAAAATTGTTTTTAGTCCCTGCCAAAATAAAATAGTTCCATCTAGACCTGATTGACAGGTTCACAAATCCATAAGTCTGTAATATTGTGGTGATAAAATGAATTTTTAGTTCCGATCTTGGTTGGAGCACAAAATATCCGAGATATTTAAAAATTAACTGTATTTAATTGAAGTTATTTAGATGCATTTATCGCACTATTTGTTACAGTCGTACTGGAACCGAAGTAGATATAAAGCCACGAATGCCAAAAACATAAACAGGTAAAGTAGATTTTGGAGTGTAGCCGAATAATACGGTTGTAAATTTTAGTCATCAATTTTCACGTTTTAATGGTCGCATCCAGACCCAGGTACTCGTAATAAATATTTTGCTTGCGAATAGCGGCTTATACAATACTATATTGGCCGGATAATTCTGTTTTTACATTCTTTGAACGTTTGGCACAACAATCACAAATTGTTAAATTTATTTTTAGGATAGTTTTATTATATTGAAATTGTTGAAATCGTGAAAGACTGTGGCAAACATTACAAAGGTAAAATGCTTGTAATGCTATCAACCCTGAAAACACCCGTTATGTTGACCTGCTCAACAACAGCCGTCCTGGATATTCGTTCATCATTGACTCTGAGAATAATACTTTGGTGGATATCAAAACATCAACCTATGTTCTCCGTCACATTCTGTCATCACCAACATTGCGTCAACAATACCAAAATCTTGATAGCAGAACAATTAACGTAACTTTATATTCCAAATGGCTTCGGGATGTTGGCAAGTTCGTTGAATTCCTTGCCGTGATGTGCGATGTGACCAGTGGACAACCAACAAGAGGTACTGAGATAACATCCTCCGTAATTTGTAACACCAGCAAGGGAGGTGTTAGTTAAGTATACTGGTCTTATAATACTGTTATGCTCTTACAGTATTATAACAAGAACACTCTTTTGTATTGCGACCAGTATATAGCCAGATTTCTGCACAAGCTGATCGGTCGCCTCTTGGTTTTATATTTGGCGTTAATTCGCTCCATGGAAAGGTAACAGCCACGCTCCAATAAAATGGAGCCTCCAGGTTCCAGCAAAATTTTTTCGTTGTCCAATGTCATTACAAAGTAAAATTTTTGGCTCCCGATATGATGATGAGTGTTATATACAAATAACGTTGGAGATTGTCTTTTATTTCATCTTAAATATCTCATAAATTTTAAAAATGAACCGAACACCTGTCGACATTCAGCATAGCCTCAACAAACTGAGGAGCCGGAAACAATTCCACGTCTGTCTGCAGCTACCCCTAAACCCCAGGGAAGCTCCACGACTAATAGTAACTTTGGTGTTACAGACAAAATCCTGAATGTAAAGATCTGGACCAATGATTACGATGGTTGTCGTATTTGGGTACGATTCACTTAAGAATAATTAAGCAAATCGTTTAAATAAATAAACTATGAAATTAAAACAACCTTTGATGTTGCATATCAGCATACGCTTGTATACTGCTATATGTGGTAAACGGGATTAGTTTACACAGAAAAATAAAAACAGGGAATAAGTTAAATATCCAGTGTGGTTTTATTCCAGGTTAAAGGTTAAAAATAAACTAAAGGAAAACTATCTATCTAGAAATTGTCCTATTTATATGAATTGTTAGACGGTAATGATTTATAATTGTGATAAGCTGTTACTGTGCTTATCACTATCTTATGCTTGAGAAACTATATTCTGTGTATGTTACACAGAAAAATGGCTGTCTATCTTTTATGATTACAGCAGGTATATTTGGATTTGAAGATACTCTGTGAGGTAACACAGAGTTTTCTTTTTCTATTTCCTTATTATAGAAATTCTGTCCCTGTCTATGACTAATGGTAGAATGGTGATAAGGATATTTTACTGTCATATCCTTATCTGAAATGGTATTATGTATTTTATTGGTTGTATGCTTTGTTATGCAATTGTGTATATTTATTATTGGCTGTAGCCGTTATTATTTATGTAGTTTACGTAGTTATATATTATGTGTTTTACCACACTATACAACTTCTCCTACTTCGAGTACATACTTCTATATTAAATATTGCTTGATTGGCCTAAATACGATATACGAATGACAGTTGGATACAGAATGCTATACCACTGAGCTACGATATCACCGATCGGGAAGAGAAACTTCTTTAATCAATCAAGAATTATAAGAAAGAGAAACTTAATATAAATAGTTCTTTCAATGGATTAGCTACCCAGAGAGAGAATAGAACAGCTATTAATATAAATGGTTCATTTACTTATATATTGATATAATTATACTGCTGATAAAGAGTATAAAGAAATAGTGTATGAATTAATGAATACCTGTAGCTTCTACAACCAAATATACAAATATCGATAAGACATTTTATATTTGGGTTCGTAATTTATTCGTTACAATGATATTGAATAAATGATCAACTATTTTGTTCTATTGCCAATTACGCTTGACAAACAAGTATGCATCTTTTACAGTAACCGTTGCATGATCTGATGAATAAGTGTCTCGTAATTCTAAAGCTGTATTAGAATACTCATGCTCCCGATCCACTGATATGGGACAACGTTATCTGGAAACAATTCTAACGAGTAGTATCTATTTAACCCAAGGCGGGAAACAAAGTATAGATCTATTCCAAAACCAGAAAGGTTGACTCATCATTAAAGCTCAGGAGAGTTGCGCAATATAAAAAGGATCAATTATTTCATAGCAGCAGAGTTCTTTAAGTCTATTTTTACCCCTAATAAAATTATACTTTTATCTTATTACTTTTCTATGTAATATTTTGTCAAATACCACATACAGACTCCAACGGTAGGATGAGAACAAGCGGGGTAATGTGTGATTCATGATTAACTTTAAATTTATTATCTATCCTTAATGTTATGTGACAATTAACTTTATTATTATATCTATGATATCCGCAACACACGCAATGCGGCAAAACAGTTTGGGCATGATAATAACGTTGGTTATCGGGCTATGACATGTATCAGGTGGTCTAATAAATTTTTGCTGGAACGCGAATTTTTTGACCATTTTCAAGGTGTTCATATCAAGAGAAAGTCTTTTCTTAATGATTTAGACGTTAAGATGATGATCCTTGAAGAGATGAGAAAGACCAAGCCAGCTGAGCGATCCTTGGTTGTAATTAAAACATTTATTGATGATGTTGTTGTTCCTTCTTTTTTGGGTGTTGCTAATAGATCTGTCGCTGAAACAACAATTAGCAAGTACCTGTATAAATGGGGATAGGCCTATAGAAAAAACAAGAAAATGATCTACTTTGATGGTCATGAACGTGAGGATGTTGTTGCTTACAGAGATATTTGGTCAAGAAGAAGGATGGAGTGCATGGAGAAAATTGATTTCTATACTGGGGAAAATGAAGAGAATATCTTGGAGCCAACGTTAGAAGACGGTAACAAAAAGCTTGTTTTCGTAACACAGGATGAAAGCACGTTTTAGGCCAATGATGGTAAAAACGATCTTTGGCTGGAGGATGGTGAGAACCATATTCGCAAAAAGGGACCTGGATCTTCAATTATGATCAGAGAGTTCCAGTGTCCTTGTCATGGTACCATGAAGATTGCAAATTGGTCGTCAAGAACGAAGTTTAAGGCAGGTGATAGCAGAGAAGGTTGGTGGACCTATAAGCACATGGTGGAACAATTGGAGGAGAATGCTATCGGTCTCTTTGATGCATTGCATCCAGGTTTTAAAGCAATATTTCTTTTTGACAATAGTTCCAACCACGGAGCTTATCCCGATGAAACTGTTGTGGCCAACATAATGGCTTTGAACGATCGAGTGTGGCCAATTACGAGCAAGTTTCAGTTTCATGATACTGTTTTTAATTTAACAAGTGGAGAGGTGTTGGAGCAGTCCTTCTTTTATGACAAGGTTGCTACCAGTAGAGATAAGAAAGGCCGTACTAAGTCTAAAACTGTACGGTACTTTAAAGGAATCAAAACTATCTTGGAGGAGAGAAATCAGTGGATTGGTCATGACATCAATGGCAAAGCGCGGAAGTTGGGTTGCGGTTCACCCGAGGTATCTTCTGATAAGATCTGTTGCGCTCGTCACTTCTTGGGTTCTTGCCCAGATTTTTGTAATCAAAAATCAACACTCCAAGAAGTAATAGAAGATGCTGGCGACATCTTCGAACTATATCCAAAGTACCACTGTGAGAGTAATTGGATAAAAATGTATAGGGGTGGAGCAAAGCGGGAGGCTCGCCTCAAATGCGATTACACTTTCAAGTCTTTGGATAGCAAGATGGATGCATTTTTGGATAAGGCAGGAAGCATTGCCAAAATTAGAAGATACTTTCGGCGCGCAACTGAATACATTGAAGCCTACAGCAAGTGTAGTGACAGTCGGGAAGTGGTGAAAAAATTTGCGGAGAAAAAGTACCTTTCCCACAGAAAGGTTAGAATCGCTTCGGACTTAGACCGTGAATAGAATATTTTTTTTATAAATACACATCAATTAGCATTGATTTGATTTTCAATGCTGAACTTTTTTATTTTTGCCTAATGTCAAGGGGATTGGGTACTCTTTCCAAAAAAAAAGAAAAAAAAAATACTCATCACCAACATCGCAATTTCGAAAAAAAAAAAAAATTGAAACAAATTTAAAATTTATCAGGTTTAAGCTTGGTGGCACGTTAAATGCTTATGCTTTTTGAAAAAATAAATTCTATGAAATATTTAGATACATAAAACAAAAGAGAAAACTTTGTACAAGAATGTCTTTTGATTCCTGTTTTTAACTTATAAGAAAAAAGTAAAGTATTTACGACTTCTATCATTTTCGGTCGTTACACACTATGTCGCGCATGTAATATTTCCCCTAATACATATTCCTTTTAGGGTGAGCCGACTTGGCATATTTTTAAAGTTTTAAGGTTTTTTTAATAAATCTTTTACAAATTGCTTAGATATAAATTTAGGTTGCTAAAACTGTATACAATCACGTCTTAAGGTCCCCTTTATTACTTTGTATAAAAATAAATGCCGAGAGTCTTTTCATTATCGCTTTCTAAAATCAAACATGAACAATCTTACGCGTCTGACGAATGTTAAATGATCGTTTTTATCCTTTTCACATTTTTTCTATCATAACATGCCCAGACCTAACAAAAAATAAAGGGCTATTAGAAACAGACTTAGAAGAGAAGATAAATGCATTCAATCTGCCGAAGTGGTACTCCCTGAATGAGAGACCATTGAATTGAATCACGGTCAATTAGTCGAGCAAGCCCAGGTTTTAAGAGCTGAGGCGAGTTCTCTTGATCTTATTTCAGATTGCAATATAGAAATAAGTAAAATACCACTTACGCACACCGGTATATCCAGAACAACAAAAGGGAGAAAGAATGCCGAGGCTGCAAAGGTAGATCCAGACCAGACCCTTCAACGTTTTAGATTTACTTTTGCAAAAAGTGTAGAAACTCAGCAATTAATAAAGTTCATTCCTCACACGGAAAAAGAAAACGAAGACATCAAAAACATTATGCTTGCTGTCGAGGCTATTACTTTACCCGTAATGCGTAAGAAGAAGGACCATCATGCTCGTGCATCATACAACAATGCTAGGTATTTATCTGTGTACGAATATTGTTTCAATCGTTTGGTGGAAAAAAGAAAGGATTGGCTTCAGAAGAAGCAGCCGAAAAATTCTAGCCCCCAAAATTCAAGGGTCCGGGGCAAAAGGGTGTAATTTTTCGGTACATTATTTCCCCGGAGGGTGTAAGAAAAGCCACAATGTACTTCGCGAAGTTTCATTTTTTTTTCTTGCCCCTTTTTCACTAATTACTATAATTATGACAGCAACATCACTAAAAACCACGTTTAAAGCAAATTCTCCAGAGGAGCTTTTGGAAGAGACTTGGTATGATCATTATAACGAGTCTACCGAAAGCTTTGAGAATTTTGGCCTTGAAATTGGTTGGTCATTGACGAAAGCGAATTCTTATAAACCCAACAAAAATAATAGTCCCGAATGTGAGAATCCTAAAGAACATAAAAACGATCGTGGTATCGTTAAGCCTTGCGCAGATGCTATCAAGTGCCCTAAAAGTAGCTGCCCTTTTTACCAAGATGCTACTCGATCCCCTGTCAAAATTGTCTCTATTAAGTACAGCAACTGTCAACATTGCGGAACTGTCATGTCTTGTATTCAATGTAAAGTAACTGTAGATTATCTGTTCAGAGTCAACGAAAGCGTCTGTACAATGACACATATTAGCAACAAAGACAAGACAGTAAAACATATTCACGGTATTTATAACTCGAAGCATATTTCAGCAACCAAAAAATGTAAAGTCAATGCTTTTGTTCAAAAAAATCGACTGATGACACCAACAGTCGCAGTGTTTGGTGGCGAAAATAGCAGTGACGTCACTGAGTCCATTAGAAAAATCAATCAAATTCTCGGAAAAAAAGACCGTGTAAAGAGAGAATTAAAAGAATCAAGACATCGACAGGGTTCTGCTGACAAAAACAACAATGACTTTTGGCCGATTTTGTTAAAATTGAGGAAGACTTTGCAGGTCATATCAATCATGCTCAGATTGTTCATTCTAATTTTTGCATCACATTTTCTCATCCTGCAATGAATTTGCTTTCTTACCTTTTCATAAGAATCCTATCATTACTGATGTAACATTTAAAGTGGTATCAACTGGCTTCTATCTGGTAACATCTGTCGTTTATGTGGAAAAGATGAGAAAACATGTTGTAATTTTTCAAGCTATAATTAAGCACCAAA